CATATTAGACCTGGTGGTGTGGCTTCATCATCTTGTTACCCAAGTTAGGGCCACTACAGGTTATGGCCTAAGATCTCCTGTTAAGTCTCCAATCAGATCACCAAACCAGAAAACGATCCAACTCTCCAGCGGTTCACACAACCCAAGTCTGGGTTCTCCGTTGCTGACTACGGAGGATCAAGAGATGCTTAGAGACGTAAGCAAGCGGAGAAAGACGCCAGGAATAAGCAAGAGCCAAGAGTTTGAAACGGTGGCTAAAACACGGCTTTGTAAGCACCACAGGCTAAGCAAAAGCAGTAGCCACTCGCCGATGATGGGCGAGATGATGAAGAATAAGAAGGATACTTTCTCAACCAGAAGACCTTCTTCTGTTCCCATCATCGATTTTGACATTGATCGCGTGAAAGCCCTCGATGTGATTGATCGCGTGGACACCATTCGAAGCTTGTAGTTAAATACTTCCACACCATCGGAGTTCAGAAATTGGGATTGGGATAGATGGTAAAGAGTAAAGACCACACTCACTTATCATCAAAACAAAAGTTGATGATATGAATCGGAATGCGATTGATCCCACAGGTGCCATCGAAACCTTTTATAGGTGATGAAAAATTGGCAGAGCTTATTAGTATCTTTGTACTCTTTTTGGTTTTTGTGGGTGTAATTTGGTGTGGTTTTGTAGCATTTCCTTTGTATTGTTGTTCTTTCTCTTGTTGTAGACTAGTTGTATTGTGTACATACAAGAAACGTTACTACATATATTTGGAGAATAAAAATATATGATCTTCTCAAATGGAATAAATTCGAGTTTAGACTAATAATCACCAGAGAAGCAACTGGTAATTGAGAATCATATTGTCTTGCATTAATTATTAGCAGTAATTAACATTTCTAAAATGCCGTAATTGTATTTAACATTAGAACGCATACAAACATCGTCATATATTAGCTAATTGGCTTAGCCAGAGATCTCAATGGACTTAACTTGAGCCTTCGTATTTATGTAATCGTTAGATATAGAAACTATATTCATCCAACACATGATAATGTGTGTATCTGATATAGAATAAAATGATCAATCGAAGGTGGCATGCAGATTTAAATTATGGTTAATTAATCATCACTGATTCACCAAATGTCACATACTCACATGCATGTATCCTCTCAAGTAGTGGCAAATTTAGAGATATATTTATGGGGTGTATTGAAAAAAGAATTTAGAGTGATTTGAGTTTTTAATGAGTTTTGACATATTTTGGTGAATTTTGGTGCATTAGAAAATTTGTTATTAAAATTCTCCCAAATTTCACCTAAAACCATGAGATTTGGATTTTTGAATGTTAACTAAGAAATTCCCTTAAATCTCACCCAAAGTCACTCAAGTCACTTCAAATTCACTACTTAAAATATTTTCAATAACAGTGGATTTGATTGTAAATTTTAAAATCACTAATCCAATAACACTTGATTTTCAATTTTTTTTTTTTAGAATTCATGTTTAAATAACATAGGATTTGTTATTTTCATACAAATCATTCCAAATCCTTTATTGAATACATCCCCCAAAGTCTGGATCACCATTTATTTATGTATATTTTTTATCAAAATTTACATCTTTCGTTCGTTATCAAAATATAAAATTCGTAATAAAATACGTAATTCATCAATACATAAATTTTATTTCTTACAACTTATGTAAGTTTGTATAGATAGATATATAATTTCGTAACTATTTTCACATATAAATAAATATTTTAGAAATATATTAGTAGACATGTAATATTTAATCAGTTAGTAAAGAAATATCAAACTAATTTAAATCCAACAATTAAGTAAGGATGTTGGAGCTAAGTATGTGATTAAATTAGTGTTTGTGGTAGGAGAAAAACAAAATGTCAAAAGATCAAAATGTTGCACTAACTAGACTCGAACCTTGATATAGGGCAAGAGTGAGAAACACAACTAATAATGCTGAATCATTTCAACTTCATAGTCTTTTTGGTCTGAGCCTGAGCCTCCAAGCTACCTTGGATTTGCAGGCCATCATCGTGACATTGGCTCGCTCTGGTCGTCCCGAGTTTTTTATCCAAAATTTTATGGCATACCGGCATCCCTATTTTTCTTTGGGCACAAACATCTTCGTTTGGATCGCCAGAAAATTCTCTTCCTACTTGCAACTTTTTTTTTTTCAGAAACTGGGTGTTTCGCCATATCAAACGTATTTTGGAATCTCAAAACTATCCGCAAACTTAAGATTTTTTTGAGATAATTTTTTTCAGGGTGGTTAACAACCTGTCAACAGTTTGCCTGTTATTTCTAATGCTTTATCGTACCGTCGCGACATAACTTGTTATCATTATGGTCTTTATATCATCGTTACTATTTTTTAGCTTATGTCATATTCTACTTTGTGGCAATGTCCGGATAGGTAATTTAGCTAAGAAAAATGAACATGTGGATCTTATTTTCCATGAAAGTTCATCAGTTCTTTATTGGCTCTTCTATTTTTTTTTAAAAATAAAACCTTATTTTTTCTATATTGTTTTTGGTTTGTTTTACAGCAAGAACCAATCCTTGCTAAAAAGAAAAACAAAATTCTTCTTTTTTAGTTGCATATAAAAGAATAATATAACAAAATATTTGCATATCATCATCAATTTTTTGACAAGTGGATTGACGATCTTATAATATTTTTTTTATACCACATGGATAAACTACACAATTATACACGATATATATAATTATTTAAATCATCCCTTTCCAGTGTTAAAATCACTAATCCAATAACACTTGATTTTAATTTTTTTTTTAAATTCATGTTTAAATAACATAGGATTTTTCATTTTAATACAAATCATTCCAAATACTTTATTGAATACACCACCCAAAGTCTGGATCACCATTTATTTATGTATATTTTTTTATCAAAAATATTTTATCTTTCGTTCATTGTCAAAATATAAAATCTGTAACAAAATATGTAGTTCATCAATACATAAATTTTATTTCTTACAACCTATGTAAGTGTGTATAGATAGATATATAATTTCATAATTATTTTCACATATAAATAAATATTTAAGAAATATATTAGTACACATATAATATTTCATCAGTTAATAAAGAAATATCAAAATAATTTAAATCCGACAATTAAATGAGGAAGTTGGAGTTAAGTATATGATTAAATTCCTGTTTGTGGTGGGAGAAAAAAAATGTCAAAAGATCAAAACCTTTCGTTTTCTATATTGTTTTTGGTTTTTTGTACATCAAGAATCAATCCTTGCAAAAAAAATTTTCTCTTTTACATATTACAAATTTATATGAGAGAACAAAACGATGATAAAATGAAACGGATCCAAAAATCGGAATAATATCACAAAATATTTGCATATCATCATCAATCTTTTGACAAGTACTGGATTGACGATCTTCTAATATTTTTCTATACCACATTGATGGACAATGATATGAGTCAAATTAAGACCTAAGACTACTCTCTCAAATAAGAAATCGCGTGTAGCACTTTAGGGTCGAATTCCACAAAGCTCTCGTGTTCACACAATAGACTAACAGGTTTTGAATTAAGCTAAACAGAAAAGATTGTAAATTAAATAAAAGCAAGCGAGTAAAATTGGTTGTAGATTCAGATGGGAAAACGTTAGGCTTAGGGATTTCTCAGGAAATAAACTAATAGTAAATCTAGCAAATTAATTAGGATTATTTAACGAACCGTTCTTGAACTCAAATCACTAATGAATAACTAACCACCTCTCGATGCGATAACTAACAAGCCTAATATCAGTAATTCCACCTCTCGATGCGAATTCTTAGATCTAGACTAGCATTAAATTCAGGTTTGATATGTTCACCTTAATAGATAGGCCGATTCTTATTACACACCTATAAACCAGGCTCATCTAAGATAGTTCCAGTAACAAGTGCCCTCTCGGATCAAATACCTATTATCCTATGATCAAATTATAGGTGATCAAGCTAGAATTAGCATTAAGAACAACCTAGATGAAGAACTCTATGGATTAATTCTAACAGGTAATCAATTTGCTAGTTCATCTAAATCCCAATGAGAATCCCTAAACCTAACAAGAAAACTACTCAAACATGGAGATTGAAGCAAACAACATGATTGAAGTAGAAATCAATAATGAATATAACAAGAAAATAGGGTTTAGAAAGATCTTCTCTAAAGGGAGTCTCCACAGGGTTTTGCTCCCAAATACAAAAGAGAAAAGGAGAATAGCCTCTCCAAGCTTAGGTCTAAACAATGACCTTAAAAATATATATATATATATATATATATATATATATATATATTTTTTAAAAACATGCAGGGACTTCTTTGTAAATAAGAAAAAGTTCTGGGACGATTCTGCAAATCTTCATAACTAGTCTAAGTATTGGTAAACAGGACTTATATATTTGTTTCAACACGTGTTGTTGAAACTTAACTGCAGTTAATGACTCCGTAACGGCTGTTAAATCACGGGGTCGAATCCACCAACCAATTAAACATTAGGTATTTTTAGGCAACATATATTTAAATGATGTATTTTTATTCCAATTAAAAAGAATTGGGTATTAAACGTCCAAATAAAAATTATTTTGGATTTTTTTTTTGGGAATTTTCCCTCTAAAAAACCTCCTAAAATCTCCCAAACATTCATGACCTAGGTTTTCTTTTATTTCCATATATATCTTTTTTTTTTTCCTTTTTACAAAATTCTTAATATAGATTATTATTATTGTAATTTCAAAAAAGTTAATATAGATTTCCTTTTTTCTTTGTGATAAAACAGTTTCCTTCTCTATTTAGGAATTATATTAATATTGAAAAACGTTTCATTCCATTCTAGCGAATTTCTTTATTATATTATCTCCCAAACGGTATATAAAGAGAGCACCAAAACGAAATCAAGAGCTTGTAGAACACGCTTAAGCATCAAAACTAAACCAAGAAAGAGATTGTCGAACAAACAAACATGAACTCTGTTTCTCTGCCTAGTGACGTTGTTATGGAGATCATGTCCCGAGTTCCAGGCAAATCCCTAGCCCGATTTCGGTTAGTCTCAAAGCAATTTAGGTCTCTCCTCTCTGATCCTTGTTTCCTCCGCCTCCACCACAGCCGTTCACGTGATTCCCTTTTTACTCTCAGGGCACTCAGGAAAGAGCTGAGCAACTTTTATAAACTAAGATACAAATTCTCTGTGACCAACAAGGCCAATTGCGTCATCCACGAGTTCAAGGAAGATTTTAGTACACATAAAAGGCCAAAGGCCAATGGCCTCCTCCCCATCGGCAAGTTCACGGAAGATTATAGAACACATAAAAGTTCAATCAGAATGTTAAGTTCCCACCACCAGCTCTTATGCTTCGTTTGTGAAGGTGGGATCCATCTTTGTGACCCCTTGAACAAGGAGTTGAGGAATTTACCTAACCCTACCTTTTCTCGGTGCTGTAATTTCAATAAACCTGGCGAGTGTCTCGTCTCCTTTGGATTTGTTGACGCCACGATGCAGTACAAAGTCATCAAGTGGCCTCACGACTTAGATGAAAACCGTACAAGAAGGTTGCCCGCCAGTGGCCTCATCACAGTTTGGAAGAAAGTCAATGAACTTAAGTTTGAGGTCTTGAATATCGATATTGTTGAAGATGGCCGTCTTAAAGTCTCCCCTTGGAGATTGCGGCGTAGACTATGTCCCTATCTCTTACAACTCTCTTCTCAGGTTCACGTGAATGGATATATCTACTGGACCACTAGTGATTTTCAGATCGTGTCTTTCTCTCTACAAGACGAACACCCTTGAGAAGTGCGGGAGAGAGTCTGGAGACTATGACTATGAGCTATGTCACTCCACCGATGGACTCTTGTCTATAGACAACCTTGATATGTTTCATTCTTGTCGACCCCTCTCTTGCTCTTTATCTTGGTAAAGGTCAAGACAATTCCCTTGGGATTAAATTCTTATCTTTTGAGAATTTGGTGTTATCTCCTCGTTAGATCATGACTTCTTTAAGCCTTCTTTGTGGCTATGTGCGTCCGCTATAATGTGAATGTTGTTTTATATTATTCAAAGCTTCAAGCTTCTTGTTGATGTGGATTGTTGGTATTGTGTGATAATACCCTATTTTTACTATCTATGTATTTGGCAGTTGATATTTTCGAAATTAGTTTACTTTCAAAAAATAAATAATTTATTACGTACGTATACATGTGAAAAAATCATGCGATGTATTTACAATTAATTTAGTCACGTAATATTATTTTGGTTCTTTTTTGCTATCTAGCAGAAACTCTTTGATCCTCTTTTTGGTTCCGAACTCTCTTATATCCCTTCAGTTTGTACACCTAGCACTGCTTCCAAATTCTCTTAACCTTGACCAGATTATTGGTGAATCCGCATCTAGTATTGGGAATTGAGTCGATCTTTAATTTTGACCTAAAACTACTTAGTTTTTCTTTTTGCAAAGTGTGATTTCTAGTTTATTTCTTTTGGTATTGAGTAGGCAGATGTTGAGGTATCGTTCAAGGTGAAGGAATTGGAAAAAGCCGATCGATGTGATTGAACAGAGTTGGACCGACCCACAAAAGATATATGGTCAGGGAGATTTGTCAGTAAAGTCCGGTTTAGGACCATTTGGTTTGATGGTTTTGGCATCCAATGACATGGAAGATCACGTCCGTTTACTTCAGAATTTCTAGTCAAATGATGATACTAATGAGAGTTTATTAGCGTCACTGCCATGAACACTAGCAATTCTTTTGGGAAATGTTATTTTCATTTGTTTTTTTTTTCTCTGATGTTATAGAGGTAAATTAAAAAAACGATAAGACCATATGAAATGTAATATCTTGGTTTCAGGAATATGATGGTGCATGAAAAGAGGATTAAAAGAATTGATTTGACCACCTATGTCACCAAAATGCACTTATCTTTTTGGTCAACTGTCCTGAGAGCACTACAAGAAAAATGCACATTCTTAACACGACAGAAATGCTATAATATGTAATTTATAGCGTTTTCATAAATGCTATTTTATGCCCCTGTTATGGTAGGTGCCACACATACGATAACATTTTTTCAGTATGCTATTGTAAGTCGTTTTATTATAGCATTAACCAAATGCTTTAATATACTTTCTTGTAACACATGTTTTGTGCTGTTTTATATTATGTTGTAGCATTTTTGTTTCGCTATACGAATATATTAATTTGATTTATATAAATTTATAATTGAATCCTATTTTGCATAAATTTTTAAATTGGATTTATATATTATTTATATATTTCATAAATCATCAAAATACATAACATTAATATCAAATTAACCAAAACAAGTTTTACATAACATCATACCAAGTCGTATACTACCATCGTAAGTGCCACACAAAATAAACTAACATTAGACAAACTTTTTAGGCTAAGATAGCTACTTGCACTCCGTACATCAGTTTACCTTCATTCCTCCCATGGCCATACCCATCGTAAGCGTGACTTCAGTCTCTTTGCATCTTTCAGTCTTTTAGTGTAAATATATCTCCCTGGAAACATTATTTATTGGCATCCACTAACCTATTCAGTTCAAAAAAACAATACTAAAGTAAATTAGAGATGGCTTTTCAATAGTCTACCCAAGAAAGCAAAATAATTCAGCTAGTTAAGCACCTGCATTCCAAAATGCACTTCTCTAGATATGCATATAAAACTTAAGAAGAAGCTAGTCCCCAAGTATACTAACACTATGATTGATACCAGATCTGCTCCACTTTCTCTAATCATATGCTCCACGTAATCTCAGACAAGAACATATGATTTGATGTTCATTGCAAGATGGTAACATGATTGTGCATACACAAATCTGAAGCTAGATAAGAAATAAAGACCTGAACTTTAAGCTCCACAACTGCAAGCTCATTTTTGATGTTAGTTATCGCATCTTCATGTGTTTTAAGCTGCAAAAATATTTCAGTATTCAACAAACAAGTTAAATTACTCGTTTTGATACAATGGATGTTTTTACAAAGAAAATAGATGAAGTAAAGTAGCATGTTTCCGTGCCCTAAAATTCACTTATACCTAGGTGATTTATCTTACTTTCATCGAGAATACTTCCAAGTGAGTACTAATTAGTCTGCAAGAAGCAAAATAAGCAAAACCAACGCCCATTCCAAACACACAAGCCACACTCCAACAAAAATATCTAAAAGAAAAGAGAACCCGTTAGACCCATTAGCTAACTGACCACAAACTTGATCATCGACAACCATTTCACTGTTTCAGTGATACTATTAATTTAAAGAGAATATAAGTTCATAATTGTACCTGGAGACCAACTGATTCGAATCTTAAGCACCCACCAAAGATAAATTATACATCTTCTCTACTCTTATACGTGTTAATGACTTGGAAGGTAGAATCTTCAGCACCTGCAAGTTTCAACAGCAACACAACAAACCAAAATCAACACAAAACAGTTCAAAACTCTAATTTTTATTCACAACAATGAGATTTTTATTCACAAAACTGTTATAGTAATACTAATATCAAATGAGATATGTAAATCTAATAGGAATAAGCTTACATAACACCAAACAATGTTAAGTAACAAGCAAGCCAATAATGAGGCAATTCGTCGAACACCTGGGGGGCATGAAAAGCATCATCAGTTTTTCGGCCAAAAGCTTATAAGATTTTAATCTAACCCAAATCGATCAACTGAACCCTAACAAAATCTAACCCAAGTGCTTATAAATCTATTGAACCCAAACAAAATCGTACCTGCGGATGCAAAAGAGAAGGATAAAGAGGGAGGAGGCTGACGCAATTGAAGAACGAGCGTCGAAGATGGTTTGGGGCTTCAAGCCAACGAAATTGAAAGCTATGGTTTATGGTTATCTGAGACAAGCGACGACGACGGACAATGAATCATTTATAGAATTTAAGAAGAAGAAGAATTTGGGGATGAAATTGATAGAATCCAGTAGATCCAGGGGTGTATAATCATATTAAGAGAGTGAAGAGGTAAATGAGAGCTAAGGAGAAGTGAATAATCTAGGAAGAAAGGAAGAATCGAGGAAGAGAGCGGAGAGGTAAAGGAGAGAAAGAGGATGGAGAAGTTATAAAGAAATTAGGGTTTGGTTTTTAATTTGAGCGATTTCTTATTTTTTTGGCTAAGTGTTGGTGTTATGGGCAAATTTTCGTTAAATATTTGGCAGTCATAAGTGATTTTATTTCCGGATCTGTTATTATAGGGCTTAGCTTTTCTAAAATGCTATAATATAGTTATCAAAATTCGAGTACCATCTTTAATAACAGATGCGAAAAATGCGCTATCGTAATGTGCTATCAGTGCTCATATTTTTTGTAGTGGAGAACTCCATAGTTAAGGGTGCTTGAGCTGGAGCAATTTCAGGATAGGTGACCTTCCGGGAAGTGATTATCGGAACTGTGTGAGTGAGGACAAAACACAGGGAAAGATCATGTGATGATTTGTAAGGTCGATAAACAAATCTTTAAAGCCTCCCGGACGTAGCGGACCGGCCGTCGGAATATGGTGGGTCCACGGGCCGAGAGAGAACGTGGGGTCCACTTAAGGTGGCGGTCGGGGCGTTACAAAGACCGTCACCCCCGACGGTGTGAGCTCTCTTGACTCCACACTCGTCTGGGTGCGGTTCTGATACCAATTGTAACGTCGCGACCCTCATCTCTCTTAATGAGTCTCATGTCCATTCGAGGAGACAACCACAAAGGAGACATCTAGTATAAATAAGTCTTTCGCGGTAAAAAATATATCTGTCATTACCTTATAGTGCATATTAAAATTATATTTTCATCAATAAAACTGTCATCATACGAAAAAACTAGCTCAATTACCCGTGCCTTACGCGGCCAAATGAAATTATAAAAAACACATTTAAAAATCTTTATACAATAAGAAAAATTAATAGATTTAAAATTACTATAAACATAATGCAATTAACCAAGAACATTGCAAATACTAATATCGAATGGAACAATAAATATCGAATAAAATATGGATACAATGTCAGATTATTACAATTGAAACTCTAAAAAAGTTATACCTATTTTTTATTAAATTTTTTTTATATAAATCAAGTTTTTTCACGAATATTATTCTTTTCAAATTTGGTGATACATATAATGAGTTTATTTCTTATTCAATATTTCTAATTCTAAATCATAAAAGAACTCAAATATAAGAAAATCCCAATGTTTAATAATATATTACAACTTAAAAGACAACATATCAAACTTAGAGTTATTAAAATTCTTGAAAACACACTAAAATAAAGGAAAAAAACATAACAAACTTAAAAGCCGAGATTTTTAGTAGTTACACATCTATCCAAAGTGTAATCTTTGTTAGTATCCAAAGTGGGTTTTAGACACAGCTTGAGTAAAGTCCGGAGATACTAATGATTTGGTACGAATTCATATTCGTATTTTTTTATGTACGTTTCACAATCCTTTAGATCCTCCTCACAAGTCCCAATATTAACAACCTCACTGATCACATCTCACAAATCATTCAGAAAATTATACAATTAATTTTCACGTAAAATAAAAGACTGAAATTTATTTAGAGAACAAAGAACTAAAACATATATATCAAAAATAATTTATACAGAAAAGAAACTTTCCAACCAAGTAATATCATCGTAATGAACACCATCCTAAGACGTGTAAAATTAACGAAATTGAAGTAGTTTCTATCTCTAACAATGTCCATTTTAGTAATCTTAGTTGCATGTATCGATGATTAGTAGCTTTGATGAGCCAAACTGA